TTTCGATTCTAAAAAAAATTTTAATTTCTACTGTGTTTCATTTCTATGGTGCAGAACGTATTCGGAGGGTTCTTCGATATGTTTCAAGTGTTTGTAAACTGTTGGTAGATGTTTAGGTTCCCTCAATGGAGATAAGAATGGAGGTAACGCTACGCACTCGACAGTTTCGGTTTAGTTCGTCTGTAGCTTCTATTCCATCGAGATATGAGTTCCAAACGAGAATTATCAATCGAAAAACGTTATAGTATTCTGACCTTCGCAGAGAAAAAAATCGATTTTAGTTACTGTTGCAGATACTTGAATAACTTTCATGCAACGCGAATGCATATTTCGCTTGTGTCCGGATACTTATGGACGGTAGTGTATATAACCCCATGTAACTCCAATCCATTGTGACATATATTTAGATATAACTCCATATGACTCCATACGAATAATGCATATAACTCCGTATAACTCCACTACATCAATACATGTAACTCCACATAACTCCACTCCATCAAGACATATAACTCCATATGACTCTACACCGTTCACCTAAGTCCATAAATTGCACACCAATGATTTTAAAATAAGAATAAAGCATTTTCATCAAAGAAGGAGAGAGAGAGTAGGTAGATGCAACCAAACCTTTCGAATCGACGTAATTCCGTTCGAAACGAACCTTTCAACTTAACGAACGAAGTAATTCTCAACAAGTTCCGGAAGAAGGCAATAAAAAGCGTTCACCTTTCAAAAAGAAGTATCCACCGTGGTACGTGCAACGAGTTTTCCGCCTGAAAACACCGCACGCTTTCCCACGTCTGAATCGCGCTCGACGGATCGCAAAAACCACAACGAATGCGATTCCAGGCGAAACACAGAAACCTGGAGTGTCTTGGATAAAAAAAAAACTGGATAAATACTGCACGCGGGTTTACACCGTTTAATTCAACTTGCAAGGTGAGTTTGAGGAATATCTGCTGGTAAGACACGCGATAAGGTATGTCGCCAAGGATTAAATTACTGTCGTCTTTGTGAAAACCTGACTCTTGATATATTGTTCGGGACGGTGCATTAAACAGAGATTGATGTACGGCTGATATGTAAATGAGGGGATATTAAATCTTGAACTTTGTTGTACGATGTGACTGTTGTTAAGATTGATGTGATTTTTTTTCTCTTTTGGTATGTGAGACGGATTGAAGGAAGATGTTATGGAGTGATAATTATTAATAGTTAGATGTTGACCTGACGACCGGCTTTTTCGTCTTCGTAATTTGTGATGGATTGTATTATTAATTTAAATTTAACAAGAAGTAGGTTTTGGAATTCTGACTTTTTAAGTTTCGAAAGTTCCTGGTTTTCCAGTGCAATTAATCAAATTATAACAATTTTTGAAAGTTTTTAAGCTCCAAGATTTTCCAAATTTTTGAATTCAAATTTCGAAATTGAATTGCAAACTTTGTGAAACGCTCAAATCTTTAAATTCAAACATTTTCAAACTCTAAAATTGCAATTTTGTAATTTTGCAAATTTAAAATTTTAAATATTCACATTCTCAAATTTTCTAAACCTCAAAATTTTCAAACTTTGAGATAAAAAATCTCTAAATTCACAAATTGTCAATTTTCAAAACCACAAGTCTCTAAAATTGCAAGGCTCCATGTTCTCAAACATCTAAATGATCAAATTGCAGTCATAGCATATTAACTTGCAAATTGCAATATAAAAACTCTTGCTATATTGCCAATTCCAAGAACCTCCAAATGGTATGAAATTTACAAAAAAGAAAACAATAATAATATTCAAATTAAGCAAGTAATAAATAATCTTGGTGATATCTAATAAATAAATAATAAATATGATTGTTGTATCTTCTCAAAAAAAATCACTAAATATCTAAGTCCCCAAAATCCAAAGATTATCAAATTCCCTAGAGTACAAAATAATTATCCCCAAACTCCTAGATGTCCAAATTCCCAAACTCCTCAACTCCTAAATAGCTGGATCCACAAGTTAGTAAACCACCAAATCCCTATATCCCTAACTTCTATTCCCATATAGCCATGTCCTCAAATCCAAGATCCCCAAATTACTTAACCATCCAATCCCTATATCCCTAAATTCTATACTTTCGAAATTTGAAAATCCCCAAATACCTATGTTCTTTAATTTCCAGGCGACCAAATCCTTAGATCTTCAAATTCCTAGTCCCCGAAATCCCCAGATGCGTAAATTCTGAAGTTTCCAAATTCCTAAATCTCGGAATAGATAATCCCCAAATCCCTAAATCCCCAAATCCATAAATCCCCACATCCCTAAATCTCTAGATCCCTAAATCCCCAAATCCCAAAATCCCTAAAATCCCAAATCGCTAAATCCCCAAATAGTTAAATCCCCAAATAGCTAAATTCCCAGGTAGCTAAATCCACAAATAGCTAAATTCCCAGGTAGCTAAATCCACAAATAGCTAAATCCCCAAATAGCTAAATTCCAAGGTAGCTAAATCCCCAATTAGCTAAATCCCCAATTAGCTAAATTCCCAATTAGCTAAATCCCCAAATAGCTAAATCTCTAAATAGCTAAATCCCCAAATAGCTAAATCTCCAAATAGCTAAATTCCTAAATTCCCAAATTCCTAAATTCCCAAATCCCTATATTCCCAAATTCCCAAATCCCTAAATTCCCAAATCCCCAAATCCCGAAATCCCAAATCCCTAAATCCTCAACTCTCTAAATCCTCAAATTCCTAAATCCCAAAATCCCTAAATTCTCAAATTCCTAAATCCTCAAATTCCTAAATCCTCAAATCCCTAAATCCCCAAATCCCCAAATCCCCAAATCCCTAAATCCCAAATCCCTAAATCCCTAAATACTCAACTCCCTAAATCCTCAAATTCCTAAATCCCAAAATCCCTAAATCCCCAAATTCCTAAATCCCCAAATTCCTAAATCCCCGAATCCCTAAATCCCCAAATCCCCAAATCCCTAAATCCCCAAATCCCTAAATCCCCAAATCCCTAAATCCCCAAATTAGTCAAACATTAAACCCCTATATGCCTAAATTCTAAAATTCCCAAATAGTTATCTCAACCCCTAGATTCCAGTATTTTTCAACCATCCAATCTCCATATCCCTAAATTCTACGCTTCCCTAATTTAACAATCCTCAAATCCCCATCTCCCCAAATCACCAACCCACCAAATCTCCATATCCGAAACTCTGATCCCATCCCAAATATCGAGACCGTCGAAAGTCCCTAAAAATCAACAACCGATACTTTCACCTCCTCCGTCACCAGATTTTCCGAAAGAAAATAAGGAAGCCCGATTTGTCGACCGTACTCTCCAAACGTGTATACGCCATGCTCGCCGGCTCTTTTCGCCTCGTTCGTCGATTTTCTACCCGGAAGCGAGCGTACACTTTCGAAACGTCGTTCGATTTCGCATCTGCGGCGAGAAGAGAGAAAAAAAGGCGCGCAAGAAGGAGGATGTTGAACGGGGTCGCAGTAAAGCAGCGAAACGAATTCGTAACGCGTGCGATCGCGATTCACCGCTTGTACATGCTCTTTGAATAGCACCGTACACGACGAATAACGAATGAATCATATATGTGAGCCCCTGCTGCCACGAAACACCGTGTGCCACACACATCCGCACACGCGGACAGACAGAAACACGGTTCACTTTCTCCTTTCAGACTCGTCCTCAATTACACGCAGCCCAGACCGAGGGCCCCGTGTAATTACACGATCGAGGTGCCACTGGCCAACCTAGTGAATCGCTATAATTTCGTTCCTTTTCCTTCGTTTTTTTTTTGTAGCTGCTAAGAGAGAGAGTCGATGACGCGTGAGATCAACTTTTATTCCTCCCGGTTATACGGAAGGTTTTCTTATTTATTTCTGATCGGTTCTCTGCTTTCTACTGGGAATCATTCCGCGAGGGGCAATATGGTTGTGGAGATGGGTCTCGGGAATTTGGAATTGCGAATGGAGGTTTTGGGGACGGGGGGTATTTGCTAATTTCGGATTGTGGGATTTTTTGAATTTGGGGAATTGAGTTGGTGGGTTAGTAAGGTGTAGCTTTTGTGTTGTTGAAGTTACTAGGTTTGGTATTTTTTTGGTACGCAAAATACCAAGGGTTTTAAATGCTATATATGTCAAATTTCCAAACTTTTAATTTACAAAGTTTTCATATTTAAATTTGAAAAATGACTAAATTTTTAGGATAAAAATTTCTAAATTAACAAATACCGATATTTTTACATTTCCAAACTTTTACTTTCTAACTCCCAAATTAAAAAATTCCCTAGTTCCAAAATTAACAAGTTCCGTAATTCCCTAGTTCCCAAATTAACAAGTTTCGCAATTCCCTAGTTCCAAAATTAGCAAGTTCCGTAATTCCGTAGTTCCAAAATTAACAAGTTCCAAAACTAGCAAGTTCCGTAATTCCCTAGTTCCAAAATTCTCTAATTTTACAATTCCCTAGCTTCAAGATTTCCTTGTTCCGAAATTACCTAGTTCTAAATCCCCTAGTTCCAAAATTCTTTAATTCCACAATTCCCTAGTTCCAAAATTCACTAATTCCACAATTCCCCAGTTCCAAAATTCCCTAATTCCATAATTCCCTAGCTCCAAAATTTCCTAGTACTGAAATTACCTACTTCTAAATCCCCTAGTTCCAAAATTCCCTAGGTCCAAAATTCTCTAGTTCCAAAATTACCTAGTTCTAGAATTACTTAATTCAGATATTCCCTAGTTCCAAAATTTCCTAATTCCACAATTCTCTAGTTCCAAAATACTTAGTTCCAAAATTTCCTAGGTCCAAAATTCTCTAACTCCAAAATTCCCTACCTCCAAAATTACTTAGTTCAAAAATTCTCTAGTTCCAAAATTCGCTAATTCCAAAATTTTCTAGTTCCAAAATTACTTAGTTCAAAAATTGCCTAGGTCCAAAATTCTGTATCTCCAAAATTCCCTACCTCCAAAATTACTTAATTCCAAAATTTCTTAGTTCTAAAATTCCTTAGTTCCACAATGTGTTAGTTCCAAAATTCCCTAGTTCCAAAATTACTTAATTCCAAAATTTTCTACTTCTAAAATTCTTTAGTTCCACAATGTGTTAGTCCCGAAATTCCCTGATTCCAAAATTCCCTAGTCCCAAAATTTCCAAATCCCAAATTCCCCATACTTCCCACCAAATATCAAAATTTCCACCTCCCAACCAAAACTTCTAAATATTTCTTAAATCTCCACGCTTGAAAATCTCCACCAAGCCTCCTAATAATTTTTCCTCCCGTACGGTGCACGAATCCGCTAATTTTCATGAAATTAAACGGTCTCCGTGTTCACCGTTAACCCGAACTTTCGTCCGTCCTCTAACACACGTGTGTCGATTGACGAGGTAAATTGGAGAGCTCGTCGCGGATTCGTTTAAATTTCCTACTGCCGTAACCTCGGTTATACCGCAATGTGTCCACATTCGTTTCTCAACAGGAAAATCGTGTGGGTAGTTTATCGCGTAAAGTATGGACTTTACGATGATTGAACTTTCCAATCATCATCACGAGTCCACCGTTCAACGCGATCGTCGATTCATTGGATTACCGATTGAACGATAATCCTTTCACGATTATTTCATCGTTTAATTATATAAACTGTTATTTCATTTGTACGTACTGTTTAATATGCTAATTGACGTTGTTGATGTGGTCATTTTATCGTGCACGGTATGTTGGAATGTAACGCGAGAGTTTCTTGTGGATTTAGTAAACATCTGGGGAGAGTAGATCGCTTTTAGGGAATTTATGGAATTCTAAACCTTCCCCAATTCTGTGATCCTAAAATTTCCTAGAACTTCGTGTCGTAAACCTCGTATCGTCATGTCTCTAAATGTAATAAATTACGTGGGTGTTGCGAAACGTATTCGTGAAATACAGGGATTCGGATTTGAATTTCATAGAAGATCCACCTAGCATAAGACTGGCGAATAAAAGCGGGATGTAGATGAAATTTGAAAGAGGCGGAAGTAGATGCGAGTGGCCTTAAGGTCAGGCGTTCATCGCACGTTTTGATTCAATGTAGATGCAAAGAACAACCCCCGACGTTATAAAAGAGGGACGTGACTTAGAACGGTGGAGGACGACGATGACGAGGGAAATATCCTGTGGAAGAGGAGGAAATGATTGGCACAATACCGCGGTGGTGGCGAACAGTAAAAGTCAGAGAACAATGGATAAACGGAATGGTACAGCCAAGACCTTTCAGGCAATCGGGCAACTGGCAAAAATCCTGGAACACAATGGATGCGAAGTGTACGCCCTCCCTTCTGGCCCTCTTTGCAATTCCCCTACCGCCAACAATGTAACCACCCGTACATCTGAACGCGCCTGCGCCCAGGCACACCCACTTGACCCCGAAGTTAAAAGAAATTAAATTATGTAGGCTCTAATGTGCTCTCCAAGACACTAAACGGTCTTCGCCGGCCCGGCCTACTTGCCCGAGACCCCATCGACGCTTGGAAACCTTTTTTCTGCGACCTTCATCCTTTGCAAACTGCGAATCGATTGTTCAAACTTGATAAATTATTTATTCAAGGATCATTTCGTTCACACCCCCGTATAACTCACGTGCGGAAAACTATAAGAATTTCATTATCCTGTTTTATCACAGTCACGTGTTTACTGATTTTATATTGAATTATAATAAAATCCAAAACTGGATGTGGTGAAATTGCTTAAAATACTTAATTAGACGTGTAATCGTTCAAAAATATCCCTAGATTCCCTATGGGTCCACCTAGGCTCTCACTGGTTCCCCTAGGTTCTTCCTAAATTCCCTAAGGGTCCACCTAGGCTCTCCCTGGTTCCCCTAGGTTCTAACTATATTCCCCTAATGGCTCATCTAGGTTCCTCCTAGATTTTCCTAACAGCCCCTCTGGATTCTTCCTAGATCCTAATATAAGTTCCTAGATCCTCTCTAAGTTCTCCCTAGATTCCCCTAACACCCTAAGTTTTCCTCCATTTTTCTAACATTCCTAGATCCTCCTAAACATCCCCAACGCTCTCTAGGTTCCCAGGTTCTCCCTACAATGTTTCAACCACCCATAAAATTAGCCCTAAATATTTTAATTAATACCAGCACCTAAAAGTTTTATACTTTGCAACAGTATTAAATACAATTGTACCAAGAATGGTACCAAGATACCAATACAATGGTACCAAGAATAAAAATCTCAACAATTTATTCTTGTCTCATTTAATATTCAAAACTCCATCAATAATTAAAATAGTATTTATCATACTTATATTATAACACACAACAATGTTTCATACTTGAAACATTCGTTCATTCATCCACATGTGTTATAATAAAAAATCTGATTTCCTAAAGTATACATGTGCAGCCATCTGGTGGCGCGTTGCTGAAATGCAACGGTTAATATCGATCGACGATAACTGTAGCATGTTACCGTTTTTGACAGTTACCATTATGACTACCGTACATTTTATTGATAAATTCGTGATAGAAAAGGAATCTGACATTTGTAATGTTGTAATTCATTCTTTACTTACCTTGTAAGTTGTCCAGCATGTACGACAGCAGCTTGTGAGTTCCAGATGGTTCACCGTATAGCGCCATAACTTCTTTACTGAGCGGATTCCCTTGAAGTCCGAGCACTTGTAACTGGAACAACTTTCCTAGTTCATATGGTAACACACGGAGGTAATTTTGGTTCAACAATAATTCTCTGAAATGAAAAAAAAACAATTAATCAGTCATATGCTTTTGGTGATATTAAATATTCATGTGTGAACGTTACACTCTTCTATAATATTTACATAGTAGCAATCACACAGTAAAATACATAGTATTTTATATTAAACGTACCTAAGGTAGATGAGGTCCCCCAATTCAGCTGGTAAACTACGTAATTTATTGCTACTGAGATCTAAAGCACGCAAGTTGGCTAAACGACCAATCTCAGGTGGTATCCTTTGCAAACTATTATCATTGAGATACAAGGCTGTCAAATGCGTCAACTGCCATAAATTCGGGCTTAAATTTCTTATACTGCCTGTTATCTCCAACTCCGGCCAATAAGATTTCTTCCCAGAGTTTGCGTCCTCTGTGGACATGAAGGTATGGGTACGACGCGGGAGTATGGGTAGGACTTGATTGGAGTTTTCATATTTGTCCTTATGATTGCGGGACATCTTAAATCCTAAAACAATAGACATATGTTAGATACGATTGATGGCACAGTCACACAAGAAGAATGTTTTACATCAATACACAAAGAATAAAAGTAAAACTTTATGTAACAATGTATAAACACAACTTGCAGTACGATAAAATCACTGAAATAAACTATTAGAGGCAAGAAATACAAAATACAAATCACTTAAAGTTACAGAAACCTTAGTTTGTAAATTTCATAATAAATGATCATATTTAACACTGTTTTCATTTATAACATTACAGTAACATCAAAAGGAGTTATGAATTGTTCCAATAAAATAGCAAAAAATGATGTATCTCAGTCACACTTTACAGGCACTATGTTAACATAAAAGAGTATATTTTCGTGTGGAATAAAATGCAGAACAACTCGCGTTTACAGTTAAAAACACATTATCATTTAAAACTAAGTTATTCTCATGTACAAAGTTTAGTAACTCTATGAAAGTAAACTCATAACCTATCAAGTAAAAATGTAGATTACTGAATTGCTTAAGATCCAAAAGTTAACCTCATTACTTCTCGTGAACGTACTGGTCGAAAAACATGTAAGAGACGTTGATACGATTTTTAAACGATACTTCGTAAGGTAATTTATTTTTTTAACGAGAACAATCTTTCGTCTCTACACAGTTCATATGTTCCGCACAAGTCTCGTGTTAGAAAACATTTTTCTTCGTCCGGATAATTTTCCTACCTTTCAAACAGAATACGAAACCCGAAGGAAACTGTTACGCACCTTCATCTACCTCTTAGCACACACAAAACACACGATGAGTTGATACCGAATGAAAATTTACGCGTAAACAAAACTACCTTGACAAACACAAATCCTCCATTTATCAACTGCACTGATCGCGAACTATAAATGATTCTGATTGGTCGTGTCACAGCCGAATCTTCCCGAAGCAGCCGACGCAAGTAAATGATCGCCTCGTATCAAGATTAGTTCGAACTAGGGAATATGTAGGGATTTTCATCGACACTTTGCTCACTGCTTCAAATTTTGTTTTTTCCTGACAAAAACTGTTATTTGCATACGTTCTTTCTTGCGTTATTAGGTTAAATATCTGATGCTCCATGATTCTGTGATGTCTTTAAATAAAATAGTTGGTTAAATCTTAGACAGCGATATCAATGAAAATACAATGTTTATGTAGGGAGCATTGACTAGTTGGAAGCTTTTCAATTCATTTCTAGTTATGTTAATTTGAATGTTACTAGATTTATTAGTTTGGAAGTAGGCACGTGTGTTTTTCTCAATAATGTACGATTTCCTCGCTGAGGAACATTGAAATTTTTGTTTTACATGTATGTACATTTCGTACATTTCGGAAAATATACTTTTATTTAGTATAATATATTAATACGTATTGAACGTATAAGTTAAAGATGGATCATGATGCATTTCGGGGTGAGAATATTGTTCGATATAATCTTTCTTGCGTAACGATTTCAAATACAGAATTTTTAATAAATCAATTTAAACGTTGCAGATTACTGTAAAGCTGAAAATAGCGAGGATGAGGAAGTAAATTATGATCTTCAGTCTCGATTGTACGCCGAAATTTATTATGGTCCAAGCGATATAGAGACCATAGATGTAAAACCAAACATTAAGTATGAAAATAATGCCGACAATGAAACGGGACAAGTAAATGAAAGTACTGTTCCACAATCTGCTCCCAATGACAATTTAAATAAGGACAATTACGGAACAAATCAGGAAAACTCAGGGCATAGTTCAATGATAACTGAAAAGGATGATAAAACCAGTATTAAATTAATTGTTACTGCAAATGAAATTGATACATCGCATAACAACATAAATAATCAAAGTAATTTACCTTCTGTGAAATCAGTGGAACATTTTGTAGGAAATGTTAAATCCGTAAACAACAATGTACAATCATCGTCATCTAAAAATATGGAAAATGTCAAAAATAGTTTAGATTGTCAGAATACATTGTCAGAGAGAAACATTGCAGAAGCAGAAACAGAATTAGATAGTAAAGAACACTTAAAAACCTTACAGTGTTTAAATCCTGAAACACCTGTGAATGAGTCTTCTTGCAATAACACTGAAAAAACACAGGAACTAGCAACTAAAGAAACAGAATTAAATGATAACTGTGACAATATTTTGAACAAATATAATTATTTAAAAGTGGCTATTAATAATCTGTATATTAAAAAATATGTGGACCTAGAAGAGAAGTTGCAGCGAATAGAAGAAGAGAAAGAAAGATGTTTGAAAGAAGCAGAATCTAAAAAGGATGAAGAGAATAAGCAACAGGCAAATCCTGCGAATCAAATGGATACAGAAAGTAGATATGATGTAGTAGCTGCAAATGAAAAAACTCCAAAAGTATCTGATAGTACAGTAACAATCATGGTATCATCAGAAACAGACAGTGATTCTGAAGATTCCATTTTAGAAGTACCTATACCGCCAAAACCTCAACCCCCTGTTATAAATTTAAATGATTCTGATGAAAGCTCTGATTTGTGCAGTAGTAATGATAGTGACGATGAAGAGCTCCCAACTGTCATAGAATGTGTTAATGATTCGTCTAAAAAAACTACAGATAAATCTGATAAAGGTGAAAAATCTTTGGATACAAATGCAGCTAATGAAGACATAGTGCTAAATTGCACAGATATCCAAAAATGTGCTACGAGTATACAAGAAATAAGAGATACAAGCAGAAGTGTTCAGTCAAGTTCAGCTTGTAATGAAAATGATTCAGGTATATTATATTATCCTTTCAGTGATGATGAAAACATGCAAAACTCCTACATACCTTCAAAACCTACTGCCAAAAGTAATTTTGTATATGAAAGAGATAAAGAGAAAACAGTCAGTTTTGCAGAAGATATAGTTTTATCCAATTGCCTTAAATCTAATGAATCAACTACAAATAAGAGAAGACATAATGAAAGTGATAATGAACATTGCACTAATGCGGAACGGACAGAAAGTAGATGTCATGAAAACAAGCGTTCTAAAGTAAACCCTGAAGAACATACTAATCACGATAAGAATAACTCACAAAGGTGGCAAGAATATTTCTTTCGTCCCATGTCCGACAATGTTAAAGATTTTTATAATGAATCTCGAGGTCAAGAGAATTTTGATATCAGGGAAATACAGAATAATATGTCAAGTAAGTTGTTAAAAATTATTAACAATTTATGCCTCGAAATATTCAACGTTTTGAATAAATTGTAGAGGATCCAAGACTTTGGACTATTTTAGATGAAGACCTGATGCCTGGTCTTAACAGACATAGATATTGGAATTCAAAAAATAATCACTGTAATTATCCAGGACGTCAAAGGCATAATTATGCAGAACAATCTAAACCTCCTCGATGTCATATGTGTGGTAGTGAAGGACACACAGAAGCCCGATGTCCTGAAAAAATGTGCCTCACGGTTCGAATATATTTGATAAAAAAAATACAACATTATGATTCTGATATAACATGTTGATTCTTTACAGTGTGGTAAAAAGCAAGGAACGTTTAGAAAAACTTGTGAGTCGTGCCGCATATTGTATTGTAATATGTGTGGAGCGGTAGGACATAAATCGACGGAATGTCCAGATCTTTGGAGAAGGTTTCATCAAACGGTAATTTTTTTGCTGGGTTTAGTTTATTAATTTAAGAATAATATATGCAGTATTTGCTCAAATATAAGAGTAGGATAGTAAGATAAATATCAAGTACTGTAATTTAGGGTTTTGCTTTTCAGACACAAAATTCTGCAATAAACATCCCAGATAATTTATCTGATGTTATGAAACCTGCAGATTTACTGTATTGTTGCAATTGTACCAAACGTGGCCATGATTCTTCGACTTGTAATGAATATCGATGGTCGCAACATTTTCCTACGCCAGCATACGTATCAAATTATGTCGATGGTCCAGAATATGAAAATACAGAACCACATGCTGTAAGTAGTAAAAACGAAGATGTCATCCTATTATCTGATACTAAGAAACATAAAACTAAGACATTTGAAGAAGGTCAAGATAACCTTGAAGGTTGTTTCGTTGTATTTTCGTACGGACAATTCCTTACAAAAAATCCAAATGGTGAAGAGGTTAAAAAGAATCTTATAAACGATCAAATTCATGCTTCCCAGTTAACAAATTTTTTTAAGGGCCGCATTTTACCATCTTTCTTGGATAATTTAAAGAAAGTAGTAAACTTTGAAATCAAAGTATATTATGATGAAAAAAGGGAACTAATGACAAGGGTTCGATCTATAGCAGACGTTGCTCCGCGTATTTGTGATATTTTTGTGTTTTGGCTGAAACTTTCAGACGAAGATAAACATTTAGAGGTGTGTGTAAATTTTCCACGTGCCACAAAGAAAATGCTCAGATATTTAAATTCAAAATTAGGGGAACTGGAAAAAGAATTAAATGATCCTAATAAACTCTATAATGAAATAATGAGACAGAATACAAAGCTGTCCAATGCAAAGGATTCTTCAGAAGCAGCTTCTATTTCGAAAATGATATTGCGTCTGAGAGGAAAATTAATGAAAGTATTTCACGCGAAACCCAGGATGAGTGATTCTGTAATGAAATTAAAGAAACTAGTGAAATCTGTAGCTGCAGCTGGGAAAAGGAGAGTTGATATTCCGTTGTATTTAAGTATTGCTCTGACTTACAACAAAATATTTATACCGCGGAAATTAACGGATACTGAAATGACTCGTTTACGTAAAAATTATTATAATGCAAAGATAGAAACTAGAAGGAAAAAAAGGGAAGAGAAGAAAGCACAAACAATAAGTGATCCATACGAGTCACTTATACGAAATTTAATATCTTATAATAATAGAAAAAGCAAACCCAATACACCTCCGCTTGTTGACAACAGTGATGCTATGCAATCGACGAGATCGTCTGAAAAAAACAATACACAAACCTCCACTGTTATTTCTGCTAGTGTTACAAATCCTGTAAAAGATAATGTTCAATGTAGCGATAATACGGAAGATAATATAAAAACTACTTGCATTGAAAAGTCTGACATGAGAACTAATACTGATGAATCTGATGCAGTGTATCCTATAGAGCGTATACAGTTACCACGTAATGAAAATGTACCAAGCAGTAGCGAAGCACTAGATATCATAGAACAAGCCAGTATTGTTCCATCCGATTCAGTTCCTTTACCTAAGTTAGCGGATCTTGTAAAACAATCAAAACATGATAGGTCTAATTTAATAACTGTACCTATCAAAGACAAAGAACTCCCTGGACCACAGAAAAATAATGTACCTTGTCCTGAAGCAAGATCTCCACAAAATAACACAGAGAAATCTTCAGGAACAACAAGTACTAACACTGAAACGATAGAAACGTCTACTTCAAAACAAGATGACGCAAGTTGTTCTTCAGACAGTATTTCGACAAAGAAGAAAGTCAAAAAATCCAAAAAAAGAAAATCAGATGAAAATAATTCAGAACCTACAACAAATCACTCGATAAATCATGCTTTGTGGAATAAAGCTAACGCCGTTATGAATGAAGCTCTTGGATTTAATTTACCATATATGAATAAAGCTGTGGAAGAAGTTCGAAAAAGGATAAATGACGGAAGACTTAAGCAGGAACATGTTGATGTGTTACAAAGACTAATAAATTTAGAGAATGATCACCAAAAATATGTGAGTTCGTTTTGTAACTATTTACAGTGAACATTATAGCTTTTATTATATTCTAATCTAATATGGAATAAAATGCTATTGAAGCTTTTAATCATTTTGAAATTATTCTGATTGTTTTGCTGTTCCTATATGCGAAATTTTTATACAGATTTAGAATATATGTAACAGTAAAAAGAAATTGAATTCTGGATAAAATTATATATAATATACAATGGATGTATTTTGTATTGTCACTCTAATTAGTAAACATTTTAACTAAAAAATTTTAGAGGTTGTAATAAAATCTAAAAATACAATTGTTCTTTTTGTGTAAAGGCTATTTTTTTAATCTGCAGTTATTAATATATTATTATCCATTTACTAATTCATATGAATATAAATAACATATTGAGTTATTGAAATACTAAATAATATCAGAATGTTATTTTCTTTTTAAAATAGAATTATACAAGTTTCTAATTAGAATGGCAATATACAACTATGATATCACAGTTATGTTTGCATTTAAGTTACGTTAATATGATTAGATTCTAAGTTTATATACATAGATTGTAAGATAAAACTAAACATATAATGAGACTTACAGTGACATCTCAAACGCATGCAACATTACAATACACTTCACAAGTGAATTCAATTTGAATCATCAACATTCAACATTTATCCAGTGGTATGGTTAATTTTTGTTGAATGTAATAAAATACATTGAACAAATATTTTGTTGAGAATACAGCATTGTATAATACACAAATTTTCTTTGTCTATTTTTTTGTAAATAAAACAGGTTTTTTTAAAATAAAACTGTGCTTCTGGTTTTTACATTTTCATCCTGTATATATTTATTGTTCAAAATATAATCATTTATCTTACAATGGTACTTTAATTGATGAATTACTAGATTCTTTGTAAAAACAAAATCGGTAAATTTTGGATTCTTAGTCTTTCTCTAACTTAAAATTAATATTATAAGAACCACACGCAAAAACTTCTGTTTATATTCATATATACATATCAGTAGTCTTTCATTCAAATATGTGTACCTAATTAAATACTTATTATCAAAACAGGTATTAATGTAATTGGAATAATCAGAACAATGTACAATTATCCAATATTATTTTTTCATCGGTGGAGGTCCTCCCATAGGTGGTGGTGGTCCATTCATTGGAGGTCTCATTGGGCCCATAGGTCCCATCGGACCCATCATTGGCCCCATTGGTCCCATAGGACCCATCATAGGTGGCCTCATACCCATCATTGGTGGCATTGGTCCATGCGGTCCCATCATCATAGGCCCTCCTGGTCCCATTGGCCCACCAGGATGCATTCCTGGTGGTGGCATCATACCTGGTGGACCTTGAGGTGGTACTCCAGGTCGAGGACCAAGATTTGGAGGTGGTGGAATCGCTGCTCCTTTATTTGCAGCAAATGGATTAGACGCAATCTTCCCTGCTTTGAATGCTGCCGTTGTTGCATCAATCAAATGTTGGGCCTGCTCCTCCATCCACTTTTGATAAAAATATTTCACATTGTCCTTGTGTTTACGGCCTTGGCAGTGAGTTTTTCGTACACTCGGCGAGTCATGCGTTAAATATGTGTCACAGTAGTCACAATAATACTTTGGCATTATTTATGTTAATGTTACTACAACAGAGTCTCAGTATATGTTCTTTTTATTACATTGAGCGTTACAATTCGTTGTAAATACACCGATTTGTTGGTACTCGACAATTATAGGTTATGTGTACACACATTCCGGTGAAGGTAGCTAAACTTTACTAGGAAATTTGACCGTTAGTTGTCACACCATCTGGTGAATAAATTTAAGTGGCTGTAGTTGGAGAGTACATATTATTTTTGAGTAATCTTTTACAATTGTAATATTTATATTGTATTGTAAATAGATACTTAGTGAATAAATTGTTACATTTATAAATAATTGCAAAGTTATTGTAGTACATTCAAATTTGGATCTCCTAGGGAAAATGGCAGCTAAGGAAGACAGTTCCTACCTTTCACCGCTAGATGGCTAAGAGTTTTGCGGTCCATAGAAACGCAATTTTGTAATTTTCTAATATGATATTTTGAATACGTTATGAATACAGTTTTATGACTTTGTCATGTTTGTAGAATAATTTACAAGTGTCAGCAACGTGCTTTATTTAACAAAACAATGCAACTTTTTGGTTTGGTGATTCCAAAGTTGATGTTAGATGGCGATAGTGGCATCATTTTTAGACATGTAAGTGAAAATATAATTTTTAAAATATATGTTAGAATGACATTTTCAAAATGCTTTCAACTCGCCAAATTTATTACTTTACAATAAATTATTATCTTTTATATTCTTTTACATATTAAATAGTTATAATAGTTTTGTTATCTATGAATGTAGTAGATATAAATTAATTCTCGAGTAACGAATTTTCGTTTGTACTGCGCACATAACCTCTGATTGGTTCTAACAAATTTGGTAACCAAAGATAACGTGCATGCGCACTAACAAATTTCTTATAAAACAGTTACATATACAGTGCTCTATTTTAATATATTCTCTTATATCGTGCAAGTATTATCACAATTACACTGATCATTAATTTATGTCCACCAGGTATATAACCATGAAATAAGAAATATACTATAGATGGTAATCACACAAATGGTTTTTAATAACCTGAAGTCAGTCAAGATGCGCGAACTTATTTCATTTTCTAGAGGAAAATAATTTTATTTCTAGAAATAATTTTTTATTTGCTTATTTGATTTACGTTTTCTCAATTATTAAAAATTATTGCAATGATACTATTTATTACTGATAGATATTTTCTCTCAACTAATAATGTGCACAAGTACAAATTATTTCAATTAGAAATTTATTTTTATAAGTATTACCTTCTGAAAGTAACTTTTTGCAACCAAATTCATATACACATAATTACAAATATTCACAGAATTTACAATCAAGTTCAAAAGAGAATTTTTCATTGTAAACATTATATTTTTCTGTTTAATTTTTTTTAGGTACTTTTTATCAAAAATGTAAATAAGTATGCATAATAATTTTTAACTTGCTCATCTCATACTGGACCCCATTATATAACAATTTATATTATATAATAATAATTTAGTAAGAAATAAAAACTTGTAACTGACCAAATTCTAAAATTTAATAAAGATAAATAAAAACACGAAAAAATATAATTAACATAAAGGTACAAAAATATGAAAAGCAGCTGTTAAATAAATAAATCGATCACATCAAACGGAATATGTAGAGATGCCCTAATGAAGTTTTTACGAGGACTTTCTGAATTATTAAGGAGATTACGCAAATTTTACGGCAGCATCTCAAAATTGAATTCGTCATGGACATGTACCGACGACAGTTTGTTGGCACTGCCAGTGAATTCTTAAAATCAGCATCGGGACTTTTCCTACATCCGAACTTACTGGGGCAATTTGTCGGCGGCCTCCGCTTGGCACCTTAAAAACTCGTACCGCAGTCCTCAAGGATTGCCGAATCACTGCAGCAAACGTCGTCACTCTTGTCTCCCTTTCTCGACAAGATCGAACGTACACTCGGGTGCAATGTACTTCCTTTGAATAAGGACGTATATGTACACCAAAAACTTCTAAACCTTCAAGTTTCCAAGTTTAACGCATTCATTTTTAATTTTCCTGTATGCGAAAATTTCTACATTTTCAGAGTTTTAAATAAATTAAATTTGCAGACTTTTGAATAAATTAAATTTGCAGACTTTTGAATAAATTAAATTTGCAGACTTTTAAATAAATTTTAAAGTTTTGTTATTGTTAATTATTAGGTGGTCAAGTTTTTAATGATCTGGACCTGTAGGTCCACGAAGTTTTGAAGAATAAGTTGTTGGGTCGACGAGCTTTGGAGGAACTAATTAATTGTATTTAAGTGCAAATTCATTCATCACAAACTATTGAAATCACAAATCTTCATATTCTCAAATATTTAAACTTTGAAATTCTTAAATCCTTGAATTAGTATGTTTTGAAGTCACTATATTTCCAAAATTCGACGTCTTCAAATTCTGATATCTCCAAGCCTCTACATCTCCAAATTTCTACGCCCCCAAATTCCGACGTCTCTAAACTCCTACGTCTTCAAATCCTTACGTCCCTAAACTTCTACGCCTTCAAATCTCTATATCCCCGAATCCCAACATCTCCAAATTACTATACACCCAAATCCCCACGTCCCCAAATCCCCACGTTCCCAAATTCCCACGTCCCCGAATCCCTACGTCCCCGATTCCCCACGTCCCCAAATCCTCACGTCCCCAACGTCCCCAAATCCCCACGTCCCTAAATCCTCACGTCCCCAAATTCCCACATCTCCAAATCCCCACGTTTCCAAATTCCCACACCCCCAAATTCTCACGTCCCCAAATCCCCACGTCCCCAAATCCCCACGTCCCCAAATTCCCACACCCCCAAATTTCCACGTCCCCGAATCCCTATGTCTCCAAATTCCCACGTCCCCATATTACTATACACCCAAATCCTCGCGTCCCCAAATCCCCATGTTCCAAAATTCCCACACCCCCAAATTCCCACGTCCCCAAATCCTCACGTCCCCAAATCCCTACATCCCCAAATTACTATACACCCAAATCCTCACGTCCCAAAATCCTCACGTCCCCAAATCCTTACATCCCCAAATCCCCACGTCTCCAAATTCCCACGTCCCCGAAATTCCCACGTCCCTAAATCTCCTCGTCCCCAAATCTCCTCGTCCCCAAATCTCCTCGTCCCCAAATCCCTACATCCTCAAATTACTATACACCCAAAACTCTACATCTTCAAATCCCTACACTTCTAAATTCGTAAATCCCCAAATCTGTACGTCCCAAAATTCTTGCGTTCCCAAATATCTAAATCTCCAAATCTCTACATATCCCAAACCCTACATCTCCAAATACCTCTATCCCTAACTCCCTATAACCCTCAAATACTACATCCTTAAATTCCTGCGTCCCAAATTCCTAAATTTCAAAATTCCCAGGTTTCCAAATCTCTAAATTACCAAATCTCATTTCCCCAAATTTATATCTCATTTTTCCTAAACTGTACTTTAGTCTTGCACCTCATGAAACCTTCCAAATAATCTTGCACCCTTAAAAAAGTCCTACATACGTCCCTGTAAGCTCCCTTTCTAAATATCACAACCTTCCACTTCCTTATTAAAAAATTCAAGAAGTTGTAAAAAATTCAAAAAGCTGTAACCTCAGTCCAAATTTACCGCCATTTCAATGAATACAATTTCAAATTCACGTCACATTAATTGAAGCACAAATTTGTTATCGTGCTCGACGGTGTAGTGCGCTTTTAGTTTTCGATTTACTCGGATAATTCTGTGTATATACGTTCACGTAACGAGTGTAACTTTTGAACTCGAGTTACAACTTGCTAGAAAATGGTATCACGATCCTGCAGAGATTTCAGTTCGTGTATCTAGTCAAAGTAGCTTGCGGTTACTACCGTGAACATCGGAGTTACGATTAATTTTCGAAGCAGATTATACGTTTCACCGATAGAAGTTTTCACTTTTAATTAAATCAAGTTGTACCGGATGAATTAGCCTTCGGTGATTCTATTATTTGTATAGGACGTTTCAGATATCGTGACGGGAATAGTAATGCTAGGTTTGAAAATTTTGGGTTCAAGAATTAATTTTAGGTTCGAAATCTACATACATTGCTTTTGAGAAAATTTTGGATATGTTCATAATTATATTTTTAATTTTCTTTTTAATTTTGTGTTTAGGTGACGCTCAAATTTTCATATAAGTTTGTTACATATATTATTAATTTTTATAGTAATCTGTCTTATGTAGTATTAACAATTTTTATACTAATTTATTACATGTGTTATTGACAATTTTTATACGAGTTTATTGCATGTATTATTAACAATTTTTATACGAAGTTATTACGTGTGCTATTAACAATTTTCATACTAATTTATTACATGTGTCACACATGTACACATGACAATTTTTATACGTATTTATAACATGTATTATTAATAATTTTTATACGAATTTATTACGTGTGCTATTAACAATTTTTATAGGAATTTATTACATGTGTTATTAACAATTTTCATACGAATTTATTACACGTGTCACATATGCACACATGACAATTTTTATACTAATTTATTACAGTGTCACATATGTTCACATGACAATTTTTATACGTATTTGTTACATGTATTATTAACAATTTTTATAGGAATTTATTACATGTGTTATTAATAATTTTCATACTAATTTATTACATGTGCTATTAACAATTTTTATACGAATTTATTACATGTGTTATTAACAATTTTTATACGAAAATTGTTAAAGTTATTATTCTCAATATTACAAACAATTGTTTTTAACACAGAGTATATTCTAATATTTATTAGTTTATAACAATAATTATTGAATAAAAGAAATAGTTATAGTCCACTGCTATAAGACTTTCCTACATTATTTCTTATACCCTATTTATTCTGTACAGTACTGCAATGTTCTTCCAAAAAAATTTTCAAATTCAATTTCATCAAAAATGTACTTGGATATAAAAAATTAAATTCCTTTGCTTTTGTACTAATTTTTTTTAATGTAGAATTAGCATGTGGAGGTATTATTTGAACACCCAGTATAAAGATAGTGAAGTTTAATCGAGTACTGGAACTATTTGTTTTCCTTATCGTCAAGTGTTCCTCTGTTAACCTAATCTGTTTATTGTCAGCGTTCGATCAGGGAATATCAGTAGGCTTCACTTAATTGTAATCGTCTTTAAAAGACTTTACAAATAGAAACCGATTCTTATAAACGTTTCAAAGAAATTTGTAGGTTAATTCACTTGTGGCTTCCATTTCAAATTATTATTAAAATGTTTATTATTTTATTAAATTGTGTTTATGTTTACTAATGTTTATCCACTATGTTACAATATTATTTCATTACATATACTGTTTGGTTACGATACAACACTAATGTGATTCGTACAAAAAAACTCTGTAGGCAATATACCTAGAGGCAATATAACGAAACTACCTTCTCCACCTTAGTCATCATGCACCAAATTAGTGATGATTTTAATCAATATAAGAAACTGTAATTATCTTCGGTAATATATCCAGAGGCAATATAACGAAACTACATTGTCCACCTTCGTCATCCTACATCAAATTAGTCCTAATTTTAATCAACCT